GACACGAAGCAGAATGATGAAATACTGCCAGCGCGGCGGTGTCAATAACTCTCTCGCGCTTCCAGAAGCTTCTGCTATTTGAACGTGCGCGTCGCGGTTCGGCATTGGAGCACGGTATTTTCCAGCGGGGCTCACGGTCGCACGTAAGTCGCGACAACATCCTTGCAGTGGTTGCGTTACATAACAGATGGTTGTCTACGAAAATCCCAGCGGGTATTACAGTAGTACAGGCATCTGACACATCTGGTACAAGGCCTTGACGACGGCCAATTCTCCCGGGTGTGTACCCTACTGTCGAAATTAACAACATTATTTCTAAGGTGCACTCACACATTGGCTTCCGTTTAGAGTCGCTACAGGTTATTTGACCAATTACACAATGGATTGAAGGGATAAGTGAAGAACAAATCGCTCCTAAACCCACATCCTCAAGAGTTACGGTAAATTTAGCGAGACATTTATCTATTGGTTTCGCACCGTAACTCTGTTCGCTGGAATTTCGAATCAAAGTGTTTGTCCGACTTATTCTGACCTCGGTGAACTTTAATGTTCCACTTTTTGCATTTTTTTTTATCAAGAGCGAGTTGCCGATGGATGCTGAATGGAATCGGTAGACCCCTGGGATATTTTAGCAACATATGCTGATGTTGGGATTGTCGTTTAGTTGGTGAAACTGATGTAAAGCGGAAGATAATCACCAGTACATTCGCAGCCCTTTGAATAGGATACTTCTCCCATAAGTTAGGCGATATTAGTAGAACAAGAGTTTTCATATAATGGGGCAGTACAATAGCCAGAGAGCAAGTGACATCTACAATCGAAATGCGACCAAACGACCCTTACCTAATCAAGTGCGTAGCTGACCCTTGAAACGCATAGCTGTGTTTGTGAACAAGTAACAGGGTTGAGTTGACTTAACTCAGTACAAAAAGGAATAGAAAGTAAATCGTGAACACTTGGTAATCCCTGCCCAGAAGTCGAATGCTCGTTGCGAAAAGAGTTCTAGAAGCAACTTCAGAACCGTTAGAATCAGAACCTAAGGCTTCTTTCCCGTAAAGAAAAAGGGCAAAGCAAACTGCCCTCAAATAATCAAACCTGTTGTTCCATTCTTTCGAGCCGGTATTTCTACGAGGTTAAAGCACATAGCTACATTCTCTCGCCCGTAGGTTCACATGTTGCTCTGCTGATTAATTTTGGTGACTAGCCTCCTACTACACAAGGATTCAGAAACAGAGCATAGGGTCCTAATTCCATAACTAGCAACTCACAAAACCATATGGCTGCCTGGTAATCTTTCCCGCCAACTTTTCAGGGCTTATGCGCTAGCCCTCTAACTACAAAATCCGCCACTCAAAGTCGATAAAAGGAAAGTAGAAAAGTAGAAAATGAATAAGCTCGTACCCTGCCTGGCTTGCTATCCCACCCAACTGTCTTTCAGGACTCGGGTAACATTAATCCGGAGAACTGTCGAGAGCCGCCTGTCGTCCCAACCCGAATATGACGGCTGCAGGATCCTTTCGCACCATATCTCTTCCACGTAGTTGTGGTAGTTATCTTCTTGAAAAAAAAGCCATTTTCATTATCCGATACAATCCAATCTAATATTACGCAACTATAATTCTACCAATGACGGAAAACTTTTGGCAACGTTAAGCTCAATGAGATGTGACTGAAAAGCAATGAGATCTTCCCAAGTAGTGGAACATAAACCAATGAGAATGTGCAAACCACTTTAACCTAGAAAATAATATTTCAATACTAAAAAATANTCTTTCAAAAATCTAATTTAGGAATTTAAAAACAGTAAGCACAGCATCACGACTGCCACAGTTTCCATTCCGCACAGGTCCCGCCATCGTCCCTTTAATTGCCAGACGTGAAGTTGGAGCGTGCCAGACAATAGGGGAGCGGTAACACCTACACTAATAGAAAAGGGATCTAGAAGGAAGTTATATGATACGATGCACAAGTGTGGTTGAGAAAGAAAGAATGTAGAGATCCCCAGTGAAGAAAACCTGAAGGAATTTCAAAACCCACGCAGTAGGACTCTGCTTTTTTGATGTGCGAGTATCATTTGGTGTTGAGAAATGTTGCTACTTTTGATAGACCCCCCCCCAATCCAATAGTGGCTCCTGTTTGCCTTGTTAACTGACTTTTTCCTTGCAGCTCCAGTCTTACCACAAGTTTTTCACGATGTAGACCCCTCTTCATTTCGTTTACGACGAGGGCCCACTAAGACTTTATTAAGTAAACTTTAATGTCGCAAACAACTCTATTATCCTCTGCCAGCCTTTCCGTAGAGATCCAATTTATGTCCGAATTCTCACGGTCGCACGCACGCACGCGGTGTTCTACAGTGCTTTCGCGGCTTTAGACTTCTAATGATGAAACCAGCCATTAACATCACGCAGGAATTAATCATATGTAACGTAAGTTACGTTGCGCTTTCCCATTTCTGGAAGCCAAAATCCATTTTTGGAGCAGTTAGTTTTAGACGAATAACTGAAGCGATAGTTCAGAACAGAGCAAAAAGGGCGGGGAAGAAGAAAATCGCATATTCATAGAAGAATAATGTCTCAAAAAAGAAGAAAAGTAAGGGACGGACGAGAATGTGACGACAGAAGTTGCATGGAAGTGGTATTTGGACGAGCTGTCCAAATGCATGCGCCACCACGTACAGTAGGCTACAGTAAGCTGCCAACAAGAGCGTACCCGTGCCGATGGGGCACCCTTTGCAGCCCCACAATGCCGTGAGAGCTCGTCAGCTTTGGCTGTCTACGTCGGCTAAGTTGGTTTTGGGGTCCTTGTTACGCTACATCCACGCCGTTTTTCGACTCGACAGTGTCCCTTGAGTAACAGGGGTGGTCACCCGGAACGGTACACCGATTAAGCACAAGTTCACACACCTTGAACTAATGGAGGAGATGACACTCTTTCCCTCCTCATGGGTGGAGTGGCAATAGCTTCCGCTACGGCCATTACCGTGCGACTCTTGAAATTGTGACTATAGATTTTTGTTGAGTCCAGTAAGGAAGAGTCATGAACAAGAAATAAAGCTCTAAAAGGATAGAAGTTGTGTTAAAGGTTTAGTTCACGTTGAAAGTGGTTTTTTAAATTTCCTTATAGCATGAATTCGAGGCTTCCCTTATACCATACCTGACGTTATAAGGTAGAAAAACGTCATGGATAGGGCACAATAAGGGGCCAGAGATGTATCGTGTGAATGCCACACCCATAGTGGACGAATTTCAACGGCTTTGTAGAGGCTGCACTATCCCAGGAGACTCCGATGTTTTAAGTTCAAACAACTTGTTATAATCCGTGGCAACAGTGAAAAGCAGTTTTGGACAGTTTCGGCTTGATGTAGTCACTCTTTGAGCAATGGGAACAAGATGAATCTCGTCCAAACACTCCTTACATGCCATTACTGCCACGGTGATCTCGTACAACCTCCACTTCC